TCGGAAGGGGGTCGCAATTTCGAGGACTGTCAGCCACAAGCGCGTGCGTGGCGTATCCGAGGGCAAGACCCGCATTAGATTCGATTTATTATGCACAGAGATTTCAGTTTTAGGCAAATTACAGTGTTTTTCTCAGGAGTAAAGAACAGCTGAATGCATCCCTATGAAAGGTTTGACTTCTCGGGGCTGAAATTAAAGTTCTTCGGGACCTAATTTTCTGAGGACGATTCTTCCAGACAACGGTAAAACACATAAGAAAGCAGAAATCTCGTAGTCTTCAAAAATGTCTTCGCCCCTCCCCAACAAGTTCTTTGAAGGAAGTTATTATTGCTGAAAGCTCAAAAACTCGCATGTGCTGCTCAAAAACCTATGGGAACAAAATGTTCGAACGTGTGATTTTCTCGGAAAATGAATTTTGAAAAACGGTTTGGTGCTTGTTAGAAAGAGCAAATCCTGTACTTTCACCCCATGAAAAAAGTGCATCACAGAAATGAAAATGAAGTGAGTTATGGTCGCTGAAAGCCCAAAAACTCGCTTTTGCACGAAAAATGTTCGAACGGGACAATTTTTTGAAAAGGGGACAATCACTAAACTTTTTATACTGTTTTGTTAGAGAAATATTTGAAGTTTCTGAAACTTTTTACAGATTTCCAAAATGTCGCATACGAAAGATTTTATGGGCCTTCAAAGTTGAAGGTGCGCCTTCTTAGAATTTTGGGTTTTCCACTTCTAACAGAAGTACTTTCCGGAGAGTTAGGCAATCCTTGTAGTTTTCTGAAGCGCACCTCAGGCACAATCAAAATCTACCTCAACAAGTCAAAAAAATACGTCCCAAGAAAGTTATTCCCCTCTAAAATTTTTTCTTCGCCGCGTCCCGTTCTTCCAGCGCCCGGGTGATACCTGCCGCGCTCCAAGGCTGACGCCGCAACGCAGACGCTGTCTGCGGCGGCGCAGACGCTTTCTGGCGCAACGGATTCATGTCTAGCACTCTTATTAACAAAAACAGGGGGTCGCAAAAATCCCGAAAATGTTCGAACGTGACGGTTGACCCTGCGTGTACAATGATCACAGGGTCGAGAAACTCAACCTTCCCAAATTCGCCCGCGCAAAGGGTGTGTGCCGCTTCCAAACACGAAACTAAACGTGCTGTGTGCCTCTAGTCCTGTTCTGATAAGTAGGAGTTGGAATCCTCAACAAAAATACCTCAAAGCGAACAGAGAAAGATCTAGAAATCTTTTGCAAGACGCTCGATAATCGTCGGTAATCCATGGGGCTCCAAACAAATGATGTACAACGCGGTCAAAAATGGTTCAATCTGAGCGTATCATGAGTTCCCCATGGTCCTTCTATGGCGCTACCCTTCCAGCTTTCGTAAGTGAACATTCTAGCTTTTCTATGATCCCTAGGGAAATACTGTGGCATTTGAATGGTAGAACAGATCTTAGAAATTGTGCAGGTTGTGTAATCTTCTCAAGGCACCGCCCTGAATCAAACTGATTGTAGCTCCTGCACACAAAAATGAAAGCATCGGTCATAGGGCAACACTAAAGCAAAAGGTAAAAGAAACCATCGAAGAATTCAAGGGCTTGGTCACTTTGCAGCGGGAGACTGAATAAGGAGAAGGGAGGATAGGCGACAGACAAAACGACATATGAGAGAGCGTCAGACACAGCGAGTCTGCGTTCTGAAAATTGAAGCTGTCGAGCGGCTTATGTGAGGCTCCTAAGACCCCTTTGTTGCCACTATGAGCCGAACGAAAAGTTATCCTGCGCATTTCGAAACAGATCACCGGATATTTACCATCTTAATCGAATGCAATCAATTTGCACAACAAATGCCTTCAGCCAAACCTACTAACTTCATAAAATTTACAATTCTCATCCTATTCTTTGTCATTATTTTATATTCTGAAGTATGAAAAGGGGAAATTTCAGATTTTGCCGCTCATCGCCTCATCCTTGCCAAGAACAGCGAGGTGTTCGACAGAATGCTTAGTCAACGATGGAATGGCGAAAAGAAGGTGCGGCCATTCACTTTTTCGCCACTTCCTGTCCTTCAGTTGCATGGGTAAACTGGGCGGAAACGTAGACATACTGGGTTTTTTCAGGACCACCTACTGGTAGAATGGATGTGAATGCCAGTTTTCGATCAGGAACGGAACAGGGGGCAAATTAGCTGTGAGAATTGGGAGCAGTCAACCACCTTCCTAGCCCAATTGTTTCTCCAGGTTCTCATTTTGGGAGCTCCATATTCCGCGATGGTTTGAGTAATGACCTCAACTAGTTTAGCAATGATTTGCCATAGCAGCTAATGGTCGCGCACGGGGTGTGGCTCCCAAGGTGTGGCTGGAGACGCGGAGGCGCCATTCTGGAGTTTTTCGTCCAGGAACGCCGCAATTACCATTGTCATGCATTGAAGCGAATAAAACCAGGTTTCTGGAAATTGGGGGAAGTTCTTTCGAAAAAGGTATTTCAGAAAAGTGAATGGGTTATGCCAGACGTTTTCTACCTGGGTGGAACTTATTGAACTTCCAAAACCAGCAATTCATGTTCTGCACTGCTTCTATTTGAACTTACTTATCGGCCCGTTTAGGATCTCGAAATGGTTGAGGATGCGCCATGCCAGAAAGTTTTTCCTGCCTTTCTTCGATTTCTCTACTGTAACCACGTGGTGCTGCATCAAGACAACTGCCTACCGATTCTCATACTTGCTGACAAATACAATGTCATCAGCTTGAAAAAGGTAGGTATTCGCAGTTACTATTTGCTTATAGAATCAGTGATGTTGTTACTGTTCCTTGGGAGAAAAACATACTATTCTTTGGGAGAAACAATCATGCATTCATCGTGAAATAGAGATCTGGCTGAAACTCTCCGTTCAACCAGGTTTCGCGAAGTGGGCTGCAAGGGAAGAGGAGAGCCGAGTATGACTGAAAGGAGTGGGAACGAATGAGCGAAGAGGGTGCAATATGTAAAATTTCGAGAGCTGCCATAGGAGGGATCTGTGCTTGATTGCTTTATTGGAAAGGGTGGAAGGTTTCTAGGAGCGTCTCAGCACCGCCACTCCTTTTGATATTCTGACTCACTACGACTAGGAGGAACAGTTTAGTCCGGCCAACTTTCGAAAAATCACGTTCATGGGATTTTGCTAGCAACAGAAGAAGACCGTCGCTGACGTGAAGCTCTCATGAAGAGATCTTAGCCAGTTTCCGATGCGGAAAGTAACCGCGAACCACTTTGACAACCCTTTGACACTAAAATGTCTGGGAAAGCCAGCATTTTAAAGGCTGTATGCGAAATAGTCTATGCAGATGGAAAAGGGCTCATGTCGAGGTATACCGGCTGTCTACCCTTCGCCTACAACTAATTTTACGCTAACCTCTCACAGCTTAACCCATAAGGCAGCTGTAGGCGAGATTCTCGATTTTTGGGCTGAAGTCCATAGTTTCCCAGGATGTGATCTGGGTCACAGTTAGCCTTCAGCCCTCCGTGTTCGAGTCATGCAAAACATATTGTAATTAGGTGAGCGTCACACGCGACAACATGAATGGGGGAGGGCTTTTATAGGTCGTGGTTATTTTCGGTAGATAATAATTGATTTTTGTTAGATTTATTAGATTTTTCTCGTGAAAACTTTGCGGTTTGGTCAAAGTTGAAGGATTTGAGAAGAAATTCTGAATTCTTCCTCTTTCCATTGTGGTACTATCAAAAACCTTAGATGCCCGACATAAGTTGCTGGTTCTTCACTTTTGCACCAATCTTGAATGAACGCAAAATTCCTAGCCATATGCGTATAAATTAATATACCCAGACTTGTGCTCTTTTATAATTATATAATTCGAATAGGTTATTTCAATGATTAGCCACGAAACAATTGTTCAAAACAATGCTTCAGAATCGATGGGGCTTCCCAGCAACCCAAAAGTTGGCCTGATTTCAGCACTGATAAGGGCATGTACGACCTCAGTGGACTTTTGCTCAACGGCGGTTGACCTTGGTCCCTCCTCCATAAGTCCCAGGCCAAGCAAAGTGAGAAGCTATATCTATATCCTTTACGGGAGAACGTTCTAATGAAGGCCGAGAGCGATGAACGACCTCATGCTTAAGGACGAATTCACGATGAAAAAGCAACCCATTTCAAATTAACCTAGGGATGGTGAGTGGTACACGAAAGAAGGAAGAACCATGAGAAACGGCCCAGAACCCGAGAAATGGTACCCTTCCTTGCCCGTTGATTCGAGCATTGATGCGACTCTCATCGCTGTGCCTCTCTCTGCACTACCTAATCTTCCCACGTCTGAGCGGCGAGTGACTAGATAGTTGGTGGGCGTACGCCGCCAACCGCGCCAAGAGTGAGCCATGCTAGATCGCCAAGGTGAAATCTTTCGCTGCCGATTGCGTGTCAATCCGCTCGCTCAGGAGGTCGGTCAGTCTCCCACTAGACAATTTTACCCTTCTTCGTCCCTCGTTCCTATCGTAGAATCTCCTTTAAATCAGCCTGGGATGGAGATCTTCAGTGGTTGCTCTGATTCAAGGACTTCAACATCCACAGAATTCTTTTCACGGGAACTGTATCGGTGCCAAACTGGTCGTTTCATGCGCATCTTTCCATTGTGCCGTCACTTCCGCGCAATTTCCGACAACTCTTTGCGGCCTGCACACATGAGAATAGTTCTGTCCCAATGGAAACCCAGACTGCATGTTGCTAAGTGTGTGTTCGAGAACACTTTTTTCTTAGACAAGTGTTCATGCAGGCGTGTAATACGAGCCGACAGCTGGGGAGCAGAGAATGAAGGGCACAGTTCATCAGCGGGGTTACTCGGGCCTTTGGATTTGCCGTTTGGCCACCAGGTTGTGAATGCCCGTCAGTTGACAGCTCTTCAAAAAGGGGTTCTACGGTAGTCCTTCAAATGTGCAGAAGCGTCCTGCACAGCCTCATGCTAATAGTTCTGCCGAATCATGGCACAGGGATGATCGTGAGGTCGTGAGCCGATTTCTCTTTCGGAAAATCCTGTGATGAATTCACTCGCAGGTTTTTCTGGACTCGCCGTCTAGTTTCAGTGAATGTGACAAGGTGAAGGGCTATGAAAGACAAGATGTGAAAAAGTAGTACGGGGTTGGATCAGCTGTCACGTTTTTCAGAGCACCTTCTAGCTGTTCAATGGTGCCTTTTCGTTTCCAGCAGGGGCAAACACATAATGCATTTGAGAGTGGCAACCCACTAAGGTGGAGAAAAATGTACAAGGCGGTTTTTCAGGTCTGCATCGATTTCGCCATATCTGAAATCCTTCCAAATCTCACGTTGAAGGATGTGTTCAGCATATGGTTCTCATACGCGACTAAGGCCTATCACCAAGTGAGTTCACCACTTCCTTTCAATCTAATCGTAAGTGCTGGGTTCGCTGTGAAACGACTTCTGCCCTCGTACTGCTTCCATTCCCTACGACCGAAACCATACTCTGCCGTTGAAATGTGCTGAATCCAATAGTTCGAATATAACAAATGTCTGCGATGGGCCACTATGTAGGGACCACGACAGCACTATTTGGAATCGAGCTCAGCTAACTTTAATAAGCTCTCCGATACCATGTGCTCTCTCTCCAGTGAAAACTTCGCTTCCACCAATTGTAAGATTCTCATTTGAAGATAGCTCTTGCCATGAGTGATACCGGTTCAAATGTGAAAGTAGATGTGCCAAATGGGGAGAGATAAAAAATAGAAAAGTAGTCAAAACCGAGAAAAGGACCCCAGGAAGAAAAGTTCTATTTCAAGCGCTATAGCGTGGCATCGCTATACGTGCCGATGGTGGGCGTGCCCGAGAACCGAAGAGGCTTGTGAGGCACACTTGG